GGTGCTCGCTATCAGCCCCGTTCTGCCAGCGAGGTCGGCCCTCTGGCAGTGGTCCCCGATACTTCCCCATCTACCGGAGGAATTGGAAACTATTTTGGCGGGAAACTTTGTCTAAGTTTGCTCAGAGGTCTCCTAGAGACGTGAGGATGTTTCCCGTGCCGTAAATCTACACACGGGACACACGGCTTAAAGTCCCTCCTGGAGGACTTGTTCCCTGAATTTTTCCGCCCTTAAAAATTCCATGACCTCCGCCGGGTTTGAACCCGCGTACCTTGAGTCATGAGGTGGGAACGTTACCCCTAGACTACGGAGGCCGCTTCATCACATAGTTAATATGAGCTCTCCGTTGGATCCAGATGAATCCAGAGCACACTATAGTTATATAAACTCCGTTTGGAATGTACTCTTAAGTCTCCCATGTGATCCCACTATACAATTTGTTATTTAACGACGCTCTCAGCAGCTACTCTATGTAGCATCGAATGGTAGGATGACGAATTGGAATGGATATGAAAGAAAGCGGTCATGGTATAAATAAAATACTATTTGACTGGTGGGACTGAAGTAAACAACGAAAAGCCTCAGTCACGATACCCCTTGTCCCGGCAGGGATTCAAATCAAGATCCTCCCCAATTCGGGCACCCCATTCGGTGACAGATTTGCATTTATTGCGTCATCGAATAGTCTATGAATCAATCATTTTGACTGAGTGACCCATAACATAGTGTAGACCGTGTAGACTGCCTTCATTCTCTACTTAAGGATCCTTCCATCACGTGCAACAGATTTCTCGAAAGGGAAGAAATAAGAAATACTTCTCTGTAGCTGTCGGCATTTTCTGACGTGCGGTTCAAGTGCAGTTGCACTAGCCAGGAAGAATGAAGGTAACAATCTAATGGACCTGACGTAGTGATACCCTGCGGTTAGATCGGCAACGTGTGGCCTATAAACTGTATTGCATCAGCCAGGTGAGAGCTGGACATTGGACAGAAGAGTAAAAACAAGAACGCTGCAAGTATTTTAGTTGCTGAGGCTCCGGTTGTCGGTTATTTCATCAGAAAACTTTGTACACGCAAGTTCACGGATTGCCCTCCTTCGCCACCGAGTTGTGTCTTGGCGAAAGAGAAAAGAATGTTACGTCAGCCGTTTCTGTTACGTCAAGCTTACAAGAACAAAACGAAGAACGATGATCTCGTCTTCCTTCAGAACTGATACGCAGATCCACTTAAACTTTCCATATTTCCAGATCAACTATCCTAACGTGTACTTATCAAGGTAAAAGGTAAAGTTGTCCCTGTTCTTAACTAATTAAGCACAAGTCGTGAAGGCGTATTGAGTAGTGGATGTATAGATCCACATTTTCTTGTCCTCGGCAGTACTTGGAGGTGAGTGTGGTCAGCTTCACGCCCCGGCCGCCTTACCCCCGGGGAAGAAACCCCGATATCTATTGGATAGGAGACGGGGTGGACCCCAGAACCGGTCTGGACGACATGGAGAAGTGAGAATTTTTGACCCCAACGGGACTCGAACTCCGACCTCTCGATCGCCATGCCAGTAGCCAGTCGCTATACCCGGTTCATGTCCTTATCAAGGAAATTTCAAAACATATATTTGCTGGGAATAAAATTGGTAAGTAAAAAGAAAAGTAAAGCTATCCCTGTAACAGGCTGTGAAGGCCCATAGGATTGTGAGACGCTGAGGGTCCCACATTATCTAGACAGTCGGCTCAAAGATGACGGTGAGGTTGTCAGCCTTACGCACCGGCCGCGCTTTACTCCTCAGGAAAATGATTTAATTAATTCCTGATACTCATTTCTGTTAGAGGCTGAGTGAACCCCAGGGCCATAGTGCGGCTGGAAAGATTAGGTCAACTGGAAAAATCCAATGACCTCATCGGGATTTGAACCCGCGACCCTACGCTTGTATCAGAGTGCCTCAACCAACTACGCTACCACGTGCCCCGGAATAAAATTGGTTTCGTCCTGAATTATTACGCAGGTGTTTTTTAATAAGTTACATCGAATATATTCATGATTATTCTCAGACAACTCTTGTGTTAATCCTTTCGAAAAACATTTTTTGTTGCTAGTGGGGTGAGACTAAGTCCCTTGTACTGCGGCCACTTCTGGCCTATTGTACCAGCCCCAGATGATAGGTGAGGGTGACTGTGGAGCAATTGGTGGAATGAAGATTGGCAGGGGAAACCAAAGCACTCGGAGAAAACCTACCCCAGCGCCACTTTGTCCACCACAAATCGCACTTTACCAGACCCGGGATCGAACCCGGGCCGCCGTGGTGGGAAGCCAGCGACTAACCGCTTAAGCCATGGCGTGACCCATTGAAATATGTAATTACTTCATAATTCAATACCCGAAAGTCTTCGTCTATTTTTATATATTACCATTAGACCGTATCAGACCATTAACGACCAAGAAAGTAATATATTAAGCCAACATCATCGATTCCAGACAAGACCAGAAATGTCTGGATTGTCTTATTGTACAACAAACTGCAATAATTAATCATCATGGCGCCATTTTTTATTGTAAATCGTTCAGGTCTTTGGTTTTTAGATGAAGTAGATCTTGATATTTTGTTCAATTAGGCTTCACGCCGACCTACAAATTCTTAATTCCAGTTATCTTTTGACACTGCTGTTTCGATGACAGACTCTTCTTATTGGAGTATGCGCTGTAAATGGAACGAGATTCATCAAAACCTAAGAATTATTGCAATGGCAATAAAAGGTCACTGCCACTCGTAGGTCAAAGTACGAGAAAAAATAAATTCTGCGATCATGTTTTTACGATGTTACATGGAAAGTATTATAATATCAAATTACTTATAATTAATAACAAACAAGCTGTGAGAGTAAGGCAGTGGGGAAAGAAGGGTGAAGACAGGGGAGAATTGGCAGCAACAGTGGGGGAAGCGAAAGATAAAACTTAAAAGGATCATATAGCCAAACAAGAAGAAGAATAACAGACATGTAAGATCTGCTCACTTAATTTTAGGCCTATCTAAGGAACATAATTCTGTATTACCTATTTGTAATTTTATTTGTTACACATTCTGTGCACTATTATGTACTAATAGGACGTAAACTCGTAACCTGAACCATGTCATGCGAACACTTCAGAATTTCTCTATTGGCAGCGAATTTAATTCAAAGCACCTGCTCTAGTTGGTTCGCTCGCAGATTTCTTCTTCTCTTTATCCTGAAGATGTAGGCGATACGTTCCTCCGAAACGTCGGTTAAAACAATTTCTACACGGCGCCACATCCCAGAAGACGGCTTTCTTCATAGTCACCGCCGTGAAAACCTCAACTCTTACAACTTTCTCAATTACCTTAAAATCTTCATTAATTATACGTAATAGAATATACAGCAATAACTCGCATAGTCCGGGTGATCGGTTCCGCCAGTATCCCGGTCTGTTTGAAACCGGACTAATCGAGGAACTAAATACATACAAAAATGATAATTGGTTCAATAGAAAGTCTCCGTTTTTCAATAAATAAAACGCGATTAATAAATTCAAATGTCTTTATTAGAAATAATTCTAAAAAAAATAGTGTTTTTCGCAATTCATTTTTATTTTCTAAAAATTTCAATGTTAATGTCTGCATATTTTTCTTCTATGGCCATTTCTCTTCATACATTTCTTTGTAGCAACGAATTGCATTGTTTACCGTTCGGCGAATTGTAAGGCTACGTTCAATATTGGGATCAATTTCCATAATATGATCTGACAAGGTTTCAACCATTCCAATAATATTTTATAGTTGTTCAGCTGTTAATTCTCGTGCAGACACTTCAACACAGTCGTCGTTGTCTAAGTTGTCCTTCCGTTCTTCATAAGCCCGTTGTTCATCTATGTTAATAAGTGTTTCATTATCTAGTTCATTAGTGTTCGATCTGATGCTCTCAGTTACGTTGACGGAATTTAGCGCACTGAAACCAAATTGCTGTCAAATTTCCACTATGTTATTAGTGACTTCAGCGAAATGAGTTTAAAAACCAATGAAATCATGTGCACAGTGTGGTGTGATATGTTTCCATACTGCCCTCATATTGCTTGCCGTTAATTCATGCCATGCTTCGCCTATATTTTCGGTAACGTTTCTGATGTTGTAGCTCTTCCAAAATTCCGTTAAAGTAGTGCTCTTCCCACCTCCTCCAGCGATAGCTGTCAGAGCTCAAGAACGAACGAGCCGAGCCTAGGTACATACATAGACAACGGGGAACCCCAGAAAAAGTTGAAATATGTATCGTATCGCATAACTTTAGAACCATATAAAAATAAATCGCACAAAAAGAGACTTGACTTTATAAAGGGAAAAAAAACGATAATTTATGTATTAAACATGACTTGACTTGACTTGACTGTATGAAGGGAAAAAACCGATAATTTATGTATGAAAAATAATTTTGTGTACTTTTTTTTAGAATTTATTTTTATTTTGCTCAATTAAAATTTAGTTTGTTTTGAAAATTTGAAACCGGACTATAGTGAATCTGGACTGATCGAAGCCGGACTATGCGAGGTATTGCTGTACATATTTGCCTCGTATATACGAGTTATTGTGAACGTATAATTTACCTTAAATTCGCTGGCATTCCATAAACATGGAATCTGATGATTCTTGTTTACCAAGCGTATAGAACGTGTTCAAAACCTCTAGGGACATCGGAAGTTTGTATTTTAAAATTCCTCATCAAATTTTCAGCCAATGCTTCATTGAAAAATGTAGGTTTGAAGGTAGCTCAGTTCTCAAACTGTCTTGAGGTTTTGATTTTCTGCTAGTGCTCGTATATTTTATTTCCGTGCAGACATATGATTGTTTGTTCCTTAAAATTTAAGAATTATAGGGATTGGAACATGTCCCGGAAAGTACTTATTTTGAATTGAACTGTGTTCATGTCTGATTTCTTTATCGTTATCACGTGGTTGTTTCTAAGCGGTGCAGTACACTGGAACTGAAAAACGATACTGTGACTATCTCGCATTTGAGGCTTAGCGAATCATGTCCTATAAGCTGCAATAGGGGTTACAAAAGAAAATAACTTAGATCAGCGGTTCTCAAACGTTTTATAGGGCCATCTTGGTCTGCAGTTAATTTCATGCCGAGATTTATTTTTTATGCGCGTTCAAAATCAGTAACGTTTTCTAGGTTTTGGCACTTCGCAGTCAATCACTTCGTACTTATAAACAAAGTGTTTTAAGTTGGCCGCGCCGAAGTTCAAGTTAGTCGCTGGCTTCCCACCGCGGTGGTCCGGGTTCGATCCCGGATCTGGTCAAGTGGGATTTGTGGTGGGCAAAGTGGCAGTGGGGCAGGTTTTCTCCGAGTTCTTCGGTTTCCCCTGCCAAACTTCATTCCACCAAATTCTCCATCATCATAATCACCCCTGGCAGACTACAACAGACCAATCAGTGGTCGCCGTGCCCAGTGGATCCAATTGGACTCCACACTCCACTAAGCGAATTAAAAAAAGTGTATTAAGTTTCTCTAATACAATACGAAGTTCAGAAAAAGTGTAAATTTACGAATTACATTTGCCTCTCACGAAAATTATATTTTCCTGCAGTAACTCAGCAGATTATGTAGCTTGCAGTGATGACAACAGTAATTACAACTGTACTTAAGGTGAAGTCGTCCCTGTGCTCAACGAATTAAGTACCACGCCATGAAGGCGTATGGGGGAGTGGATATATAGATCCACATTTTCTTGACATCGGCACTAGTTGGAGGTGAGTGGTCAGCTTAACGCCCCGGTCACTTTACCCCCAGGGAAAGAGCTCCCGGTACTCATTGTATAGGAGGTTGTATGGGCTCCAGAGCCGATCTGGACGACGTGGAGAAAAGAAAATTCTTGACCCCACCGGGACTCGAACTCCGACCCCTCGGTCGTCCAGTCCGTAGCCAGTCCAAGTGTACTTAACATAATGTAAATAATGGAACACACATAAGCATTACTTTCATTCTACCCAGTGGATTATACCAGTGTTTCATTGGCGGGAAAATCAGTAGTGTTCTACGGTAGGAAATACCTTCCTGTTACAGGTAACAGTCAGCTTTCCAACGGCATAAACATTTCATCTTGAAATGGCACTAGCGATCCCTGAACTGTAATTACTGACAACGTCGTGAAGAAATTAACATAACTGCAACAAAATACGTTATGTTGGCAGCTTTGTTTGAAAGCAGCAGCCGGATGGTGGGGGACTCCCGGTGCTATAGGAGGCTGGATCCAGCACGGCGGCAGAAGCGGTGGGGTGTTGATGCGATAGAGACGTGCTGTCAACAGCTGAGTACTGACAGCCAGCATGTCCTTCTTGAAGGCGATATGGAGGGGCAATTCCAAACACAAAAGTGAGTACAACATAATATTATGCTAAGCAACATTGTAATGCAATTGAAATAATTGCGCGATGATGTTATCTTTATCGAACTAAGCTTCGGTCGTGTATGCTTTCTGTATATGAAAATTATAATTTTTGTATTCTTGTGCTAAAATTCACCAAGTTAGATGCTCTTTCTCGTATCATTCAAACTATTTAACAGAAAGATATGTTCAGTATGATTTGATTTCCTGTTCTTTTATGAGCCACTTCTAATCGTTAGTGTTATCTTTAAAAAAAATAAATTAATCAAGTCTTCTATTGTGCATTGAAATTTGTAGGCTTTGACACTTCTGTAACTGACATGCTTTCAGAAATGTTTATATTTAGTTGCATTGGCATTTGGCCGCGCCATAGCTCAAGCGGTTAGTCGGTGGCTTTCCACCGCGGCGGCCCGGGTTCGATCACGGGTCTGGTCAAGTGGGATTTGTGGTGGACAAAATGGCGCTGGGGCGGGTTTTCTCCGAGTACTTCGGTTTCCCCTGCCAATTTTCATTGCACCAAATTCTCCATCATCATAATCACCCGGGGCAGCCTCCAATAGGCCAATCAGAGGCCGCCGTGCCGAGTGGACCCACTTGGACTACACCCCCCACTAAAACATTTACATTGGCATTTAAATATACGTATATTTAAGATAAATATTACTATGTTCCGAAGAAATAAGGTTTTATGTCTATATAAACGAGGTTAATGCCTTGATGTTTTATCGCCTAGATATCCGAATTATGTGACCCTGATAATGTTTTAATTATCATATGTCTATTTGTAAATATCATTTATTTTGAACATAACATTCATTTATCATGACAAAAAGCTAAGAATGTTCTTGGTGTACTGACCTACTTAATTGAGATTTTCATTTGAAGTACGAGATGTATATTCAGATTTTTATAGTACGAGTAGTAATTCTGAGTCATTACAATTACAACTATCCATAAATGAGCTGTCTTTGGGTCAAAATAGCAATTCTCAATTTTCCAGCAACGTGTAATGCAATGTGCTTCTCACAACTGGGAACAGAGCAATCACAGGTTGTCCAGTATTGGTTCCATCTTTTCGATTGAAATTGTTGTTCTTCAGTACATGTTAATATGGAAGATGTAACTTTATTTCAAACAACTTAAATACGTTTGTTATTACGTTCTTTTAAACCCATCTACTTGTGAGTCATGTATTGACGCCATATAATCCTCATTACTGTTAGCGCCGTTGAATAAACCATAAAAATAAATTAATCGTGTCATTGTAAGCACTAAATTTTTTTCATTTTTTGAATTCATTATATAAACTAGATTATATTCCAATGCAATAAATATATTATTTTAAGAGTATAGAGGATACTTCTCTCCCTGTATCGCATCTGTTCAAATGTTCACGAAAAATTAATTATTTTGCTTAGAAATTTTGAGTGCATATGACTTATGTATTTATTATTTATATAAAGATGCTCTCCTAGCTCACAGGCGTCGAATAATAGGATATTGGTGAATAATGGGTTTGGTAAGATGTGGAAGGACGCGGTAATAGTTTGAGTTGACATTCTGGCCCCGCATTTGCCTCGAGAGACTGAGTGAAACCACGATAAACATCAGTGAGAGTAGCTAAGCTTGGAATTAAGATGGCCACTTCTAATTAATATCGCATTTCATTTGACTTTGCTTAATCAACAGTTTACGCAGTAACATTAAATAGCGTCTAACTTCTGAGGTTTGAGGTTCATAAACTATCTTCTGGTGTGTGACGCCGTGCAGTCTGGTGAAAGTTCACCGAGGTTTCGGAGGAATGAACTACCTCCATTCCCTTCCTGCGCTTGCTTGTTTGCTTGAAGATTAAGTCAGTGCGTTGCTCTGAAACGTCGGTTAAATTCTATCAGATTACACAGCAACTCGTCCGGGAAGGCGATATTCTTCAACATACGACTGACTCGAGCTCAATGTTTCCTTTCCTATAAGATGCTACTAATGATGATCCACTCACTCACTCACTCATAGAGTTGAGCCTTTCTTGAGAAGCCACCAATTGTGCAGCTACTCAATGACTTCTCAGTATTTTATGGAACCCGAAGGTATATTACCGTGTTCACAAGAGCCCTCCACCGATCCCTATCCTGAGCCAGATAAATCCAATCCTATCTCTCTCAGATCCATTTTAATATTGTCCACCCACCTACGCGTTGGTTTTCCCAATGGTCTATTTCCATCTGGCTTTCTCACAAATATCCTAATGCATTCCTCTTCTCCACCATTCGTGCTACCTGCCCTGCACACCTCATTCTCCTTGGCTTGATCATTCTAATTATACTTGACGAAGAGTGCAAGTTTTGCATTTTTCTCCACACCATAATTTTGTGTCATGAATCTGACATTTTATAGAAGGCGGTTAAACGCTGGCTAGCAAGAACCGATGTAACCACGAGAAAGCTTAGTGAGGCTAGCCCTTCATAGGTATTCAGTTTGTATGTCTATCCAAATTAAAGTCTGGTTCGATATGATCTATCACGTAAGTTAACTACTTCGGTTGAATGTAGCTTGCGAGTCTCAACGCGCGATAAGTACATTTGAAGTCAGAAAGTGCTGCCGGGTTGCCAGTGTGTGTGTTATTAATAGAACCACATCGTACCAATGCATTTGAGGTATGCAGACTATTTCCAAACACTGCAATCTCTATTCTGCATTGTAGAAACTCGATGTTTTCCTAGTGCCGAAACACCACACCATGAGGACGTAGAGGGTGAATGTAAAGTAAATTTATCCTTGTGCTTAATTAATTAAGCATTGTGTACGGGTGGTGGAGGTACTTCCGAGTGAGAGCTTCGCGCCGTTCTAGGCTTCGGAACTAGACTGCAGTCAGTGGTCAGATTCACGCTCCGGTCTCTTTACCTCCAGCGAAAGATGATGCTTGAAGATAAGGGGCATAGTTATGATATAATTATGTTCTCTTCCTTTGACATTATACATAAAAAGAATTATTTCAGAACGTAAATTCATCGGCAATGCAATTCGGTACCAGAATATTCGACAAAATAACACTCCATGTTGTATTTTTAAGTACGTTTTCAAGAAGAAATATGAAAACAGTTATAAAATGGATTGCTGGCACCCAAGCGACAGAAAGACATCAAGAAAAATCAAAACACGCTTCCAACCAAGTATATATTTTCCAATTGTTTTGGTTAATAATTCGATTACAGTCAGTCTGTTTTCTATTCGAAGTAAAATAATTAAAATTAACTTATAATAGAATAGGGCGCAAAAAAAAAAAATAGAAAAACAAGAGCGGAAAACAGAACGAGAAATATGGACTTTCATTTTCACGT